ACCATTTGAAGTTACAATGGCAGTGAAAAAAGTTATTTATGACAGTTTTCGCACTTACAACCATTGCAGCATCCCCATGGTCATATGATCAAAATTCACATGCTTGACAACTGACTCATCCTAGGTCATGTGGTCTCCTTCCGTGACCTTCTAACAAGCAAAGCCAATGGGGAAGCCAGATTCACTTAACAACCATGTTATTAACTTAACGGCTGTAGTGATTCACTTAACAACTGACAAGAAAGATCATAAAGTGGAGCAAAAATTCACTTAATGTCTTACTTAGCAACAGAACTTTTGGGCTCAATTGAGGTCGTAAGTTGAGGACTACCTTAATACAGACATGTCAAACTCGCGATGTCACGTGACGTATCGGAGCTTTTTTCCCATTGCCGGCAATGGGGTGGGCGCGGTTTCCTGGTGACGCATTGACACCCCTGCTGTAATAGGTTAAGTTGTTAAATCCCATTTTGAATGGAAAAAGAATTTTATTCATCAAGCATCACATGCAGAAAGTGAATTCCATTATCTGTTTCTTGACAAAGAGGAAGGACACTGCATATTAAAGTTATTATACCACCTTTTCCCCCAAAAGGTGGTATAATAACCACCTTATACCACCTTTTCCCCCAAAGAATTTTCCAGCCTAGTCAAAGCAGTTACACAAGTGGCATTTGAGACAGCTGGTATTTCTTTAGGTTTACTTGGATTGCTGGAAAAAATGTTCTATAAAGGCAAAGTCCGAAATCATGCTGTATCATTTTAGAATTGTCATATGCATGTGCAGAACAAAAGTAACAATCTTCTTTCTAGCTAGCAATGAGTACATATTTCATTAAGGCTAGCTGCTTGTCAAATATGCTGCTATGAGTAAAAATGTAGAGGTCTCCTTGTAGAGGTCTCCTTGTAGAGGTCTCCTTGTAGTAGCTCTTCTACTACAGAGCCGTGGTGGTGGAGGCTAAATTGCAGGCTAAATTCTGCCGACTGCCAGGCGTTCGATCTTCAGTGGCTCAAGGTTGACTCAGCCTTCCATCCTTCAAGTTGGTAAAAGTGCCCCCCAGATTGTTGAGGGCAATATGCTGACTCTGTAAACCACTTAGAGAGGGCTGTAAAGCACTGTGAAATGCTATTGCTATTACTACTATACTGCTACTATCTGTGAAATAAGGAGTTCAAAACCTACTGTTCACCAGAGTTTTTATATTGTTACTTCTGGCCAATGTGAAGATTCAACTTTCATTCTTTAGCTCCTTTCAGGTGTAAAGAATGATTTTGGCACCTTTTTTCAAGAGATCAACTCTTGGATCATTTTCTACCCCTACAGTACTCTCACTGAAGGATTATATGAACATTTGGTACTTCTTTCTTCATCCCATTTGGTGTCCAAGTATTGGAATTTAATGGTCATATTACTTGTCATAGTGGCATTATTGAAATAAGGTCTTTTTGTTAGGTTAATTTACTTTTGTTTGCTTTAGTCTGAGCCAGAGTTACATTTATAGGATGCAATAGACCAGCTTTGCAAATGTAATGCCCTCTGTGTATATTCCAAGAAACATGGCCCAGACAGTTTCATCATTCATCCTAGAGACTACTTGCTTGTTCCATGAACTTTCTGAAAGTATGATGATAAATAATAGATGTCCATGGGAAATTATAGGTTTTATTGAGTGTTCAGCTATGACATTTTGATATATTGATTTATATTCCTTCATTTAAGCATTATATCTAAAATCATGGTGGGCTACTGAATCTCATATTGTTCATTGGCCAAAGCAAGAACCTGTGCTGTATGGTGATCATCACATATTTAGTAAAGATTGTCACTGGATTTTAGCATTCTGTATCAGTGAAGGATTTGTGTAATTTGTGACATGCAAATCTCTGATTCAATCTTTATCCTGTATTATTAGTCAAATAACTGTATTTCTGCAATTATAGTCTTGGACCCAGATCCTCCAATCACTGAATTATATGGCCCATTTAACATTATGTAAATCTGCGATGAATGGATGGATGCGAGAGAGAAGTGAGAGTGATGGATTTATAAAAAAAATGTTGCTTATAAATCTACCCATGTTCAGACATTCTATCATGGTTCCAAAAAGATTTATTATGGATATTTTTGGATCTTTATACTAAGTGTGCATACTTCCTTTTCGTTTTCATGCATAGTCTTTCAACAATAATCATATGTAAGGATAACTTTCCATGGCTCTATTCTAATTGTCTGTCCATTAATCCCAGCAAAAAAAATTCTGGTATTAGTCAGATATTAAGTTTTTAAAATTCTTTACATCATTGTGTATATTTGAACCCAAAATTTTCTGGCTTTTTTTTACAAATCCACCACACATGATATAGTGACATTTTGTGTTGTCCACATTTCCAGTATAAATGTGAAGTAGCTTTATATATTCTACACAATTTTTCTGAAGTCATGTTCCAATCCATCAATAAACATCATTTTATTTCTTCTGTCTTAAAACAAATACTATATAACAAAAAGTAAATTTTACACTTTTTAATGACATATTTTCCCAGTTTATCAATACACTATGTCCAAAGTTCTTTATCATGCACTGTTTCATGAATTCTTTTGTTTAGAGTTGAATACATTTTATATATTTTAGTAATTACATGTTCAACTTTTTACAGAATTTAACTACAAATTCTGCCTTCTGCTTTTCAGTTCCAAATGTCATATTTACCGTAAATCTTTCTCTTGACTGTATATACGAAAACCATTGAAAACTAAATCCCTCTACAGGCAGATGTTCTTTTGATTTCATCTTATATTCTCCATGCTCTTGTTTTAAAAAAACTCTCAATAGTAGGTTTTTGCCTGCTGTTCTTTTTTTTCCTATAAAATGTTTCTTGTGCTAAGATCCCTGAAGGCATTTTGGGCACATTCTGGGTTTATATCCATTCCACATTCTCAGCGTGTGGGTTCTAATATAATTATTCTTAAGATCTACATTAACTTTACATTTATCATATAAAAAACCCATGCCACCCAAATCTCAGATTGTACTCTTTCTAATTTTAAAATTCTCTTATTTCTCAGGAGAATCTACTCTCATCCAAACCAAACAGCAGGTTGCAAAATGCAAACTCCAGTTAGGCGATTCCACTCCTCCTTTTTCCTTTACCTCTGTGCTGCCCCACTCCCTTCGCATGCAGACACACATGCAAAGCGAGAGTTCTAAAGGTGTTGATTCAACCTCTCCCCAAAAAAAACCCAGATCCCCAGAAAGCATTCTCAAGGTGTAGATTCGTATTCCAAGCTCAGCACGGCAAGACTCACTGGGTAAACCAAGTCCATCAGGCACACCCAAAGTCCAGGGAAACAGTCCACAAGTCAAACGGGCCAGGGTACACCGCACGAACACACAAGGCACGGAATTGGGCACTTTGCTCCAGTAAATCCTCGGGGCGGGATTAAGTACGTGACACCAGTGCGGCCCTTCACGACAGGTGAGGTTGCCTTCTCACAAGTAGTCTAGCTGTCCAGCACTGTGCCTGTCTCCTCTCTGCCCTACATGTCCTCAGATCAGGAGGAGGTGTGGACTCCACCTCCTCCTCATCGCTAATGGGTAGCAGCTGCTCCCAGTCCTCACCTGGTGCCTCCTGGCCAATTCGCTGCAGCTCACCTCACTCAGTCTCAGCCTGTCGCTCATCCAATCAATCCAGCTGAGGCTGCTCCATCAGGTTAGCACTCTCTGAGCCCCATTCCAGACCATCACTCAGCTCCGTGCTTTTCTCTGCCGACTCAAACTCATCCTCCCCCTCCAAACTCTCGTCTGGAGAAGGGTCCAGGGACGGATCCATGACAGTATCTTGGAGTATTTTATATTTAACCTTTGGTTGTTGTTGTTTTTTTACATTGCCATACAAACGTGGATATAATTTTCTGCCATTGTTTAAATGATATATAAGATGTCAGAACATGTGGTGTTTGAAACAAAAACATCATTCTTGGCAAAGGATTCATCTTTATGACAGGAATTTTATAAACCAAAATTACAACAATGATAATTGTAATGTTATCTTATTAAAAACTCTTAGCATCCATATGGAAGCTTGCATCATAATTTGAGGAAGGAGGTGTTGCTTTTAAATTGGGGGAGGGAGTAGGCCATGATACCCTAGTCTAGTAATACTAGGTACAGGTAGTGTACCTAATCCATTATCACAAGACTTTGATACTGTTTGCAAGTAATTTTTCCACTCAATACCAAAGGATACACAGCACAGGGACATTTTTATATTAATCTCTGCAATATTGAATCATAGTTTTACAAGGTACTAATACAGATTGATTTCACACTTAGGACAGATAATTGTGAATAAACTATTCTGGAGAAATATTGTCATGGAATATAGTTTGTACCCTTACATAGAGGATTTTTCTTTAGATGGCATTGTGCCAGGACAATGGCAATGATGACTTCAAAATTAGGAAGAGTGATTGTCTGTGTCCGTTGTAGAGTTTCATCCTTCTATGGCTGTGTGCTTTCCATCACTTCTAGTAGATAATTTGCAGTATATTAGAGGCAACGTGCAGATTAAGAAATTAACTTTATTAAATTCCAAGGAATAATGAAATACAAAAATGCATCCTCTTTTTAGTAACGTCTTTTCCCTTTGTTACTTTTTTCCTATAGAATATGTAGGTAAAAATGCTTCAAACCCAAATCGATGTAGAGGTTTTTTCTCCCCTTTGCTAGAAGGAATTTTAAAAAAAAAAGTCTTAACCCAGAACCTGTTGTAAAAGAAATAACATCATTTGCTTCGATTTATATTAGTCAGTCGAAGAGCATGCTGGCTGGATGATTCTGCAAGTCGAAGTCCACACATCTTATAGATGCCAAGGTTGAGAACACTGCCATAGAGTCTGCTTTATCATAAAGAATTGGTTTCAGCAATGGGAGCATTAATTAGGCTATATTGGAGCGACTTGTGTGTGTTTCGTAAAATATGCTTTATTTTAAAATTAGGGCTTCCTGTTGCAGCTGTTCCAGGAGCGCTGAGTCCTTTGGGGATTCCAAATGCTGCGGCGGCAGCAGCGGCAGCAGCTGGCCGTGTGGGTATGCCTGGAGTTTCAACTGGTGGCAATACAGTCCTTTTGGTTAGCAATTTAAATGAAGAGGTTAGTGTATCTACTCTCTCCTCAGCCTTCTTTTTTCTCTGATCATGCTTCATTCTTTTTCAAATTCTTATGTACACTTCTTATTTTGAGCTTGCTTCCATATCTTAAGATCGACTTTTTATTTATTCATGTTACTTCAGATTGCGTTATGGCTAGATTCCAATATGTCACGTACTGTTAAAATACTTTTGATTTTGGAGGTAGCTAGCCTTTTTAAAATAATCCTTTCCTGCTTGGCTACCATGTTTCATTTAAAACATTAGAGAGAGTAAACATTGCATGTTCTGGATAATTATTTTTTTTAGCTTATTTTTGTAACCGTGCGTTCCATTTTGAAACGTAGAATTTAATAAAACTGCTATTTTTCTGTTATAGTTGTTCCTTTGCTTATTCATTTCATGCTTACACATCTCTGCTCTTTTTGTTGTATTAATGTATGTGAACAACTCTAACAAATTTTTCTTTGAAGGTTCCTCCCAACGATCTTGATGCAGCACTCTTCAATCTCTCTTAGTAATTTTTCTTTTCTTTTGCAGTTGCTATTCATTTTGTCTCCTTTTTAGAAAACCTTTGTTTTATTATTTCGTCAACTCTGAAGTCTTAAGTTACTTTTAGTTTTTCATTTTATTGCCTTGGATCTTTACTTTGACTTGCTGTGGAAGCTGGTATGAAATGTGGGATAGTTTGTATTGGTTTGTCTTATTTTGACTATGTGTTCCATTTGACTGGCCTCTGTTTTAATATTGAACCATTATACTTCTCTCATTTTTGTCATTCATAGTCTTGCGTGTTAAAATGCTTGAATCAGAGTGCCATTTCAAAGACTTCTCCCTGCATTTCATAACCAGACATGCTTATGCAGTTAAAGTTTAGAGGATTTTTTTTTTAAGTTTCTATTGCATGTTTTTTCATGTTCAATTGAAATGTAATTTACTGTATGATATGGATGTACTTTACCCATATTTTGTCTTGGGTGACTACATTTTACTCAGTTTTTCTTGTACAATACATAAACCAACCATTTTCTGACCAAATTCCTGCATTTCCTATGTACTGACCTATATTTTATTTTTTTTTTGTTCCCCAATTCCTTATTTTTCTTCTGCATTGCTGTTTCCCTTCCCCATTTCATCCTTCTCCCTGTGTACTCACCTACCCTTTCCCCGTCTCTTCCCAAATTCCCACACCCTCCCCTATCCTATCCTTTGCATTCCTTGTCTACACCCCTGTCTCCATCCCCTATGTTCATGCTTCTGTGCTTGAACAAAATGTTCCTCGGACCAACTTGCCCCAATTAACCGCCTTGAACCATGATCCATGACCACCTCACCATTCTGCGGGAACCACCCTTCGTTATGGATGATCTGTTCATCTCCGCTCTTCCTCGACTCTTCTCTCTTCTTGTCTTATGCTGCTTGCTCTTCTCTCCTTCTAAAGATGGTTACGCCCCAAAGTCTGTTTACCCTCTTCGGTATGTTATCGTTAGCACTATACTTTTATTATTGATTTAATTATTTGTTTCACCTTAATTCTTATTTATAGCTAGCACTTTGGCTTAAAGTTGAATAGTAAATCTTTTGCTATTTTTCTTTTGCTATTTTTAAACTCCATAGATGCAAACTTTTCTTTTAATGCATGTGATTTTATTTTGCATGGTCTTTTATTTAAAACCATTCTCATAGCTTTGAGGGTATATCAAAAAATGTCTTCCTTTTTTCAAAATCCACCTATTCAAAATCTTGTTCTTCTTATTCATTTGTGTGAATGCTGGAAGAAGTGAAAGATCTGTCCGAATGTTTCATTGATGTTTCAAAGTATTCTATTTAGCTATATTTAAAATACTATTTCTTTTGGGTTACTTTTCTAATCCTAAAAAGGTGTTTATGGGGATGTACAACGAGTGAAGATTTTATACAATAAGAAAGACAGTGCTCTTATACAGATGGCTGATGGAAACCAGTCACAGCTTGGTGAGATTGTTTTTTTTCTTCTTCCATGTATCATTTCTTGGCTTTCAGTATTTCTTAAAATGTCTTCCCAAAATTATTTGGGAAACTGTTCATATTTCACAATTTATAAAACCGCAGGATTTCTGTAGGGGTGAATAAAGTCTGTAAAGTTGCCTGATATGTTCTAAGGACAGATAATTATTTTCTGAACATGAGGCCTTTCAATCAGACACTACAATATCAGGATTCAAATTTATTTTTCAGTGAGTGCAGCTACAGGTGTTTTTTTTTTCTGGATCCTTGGTTTTTTAGATCTCAACCCTCCGTACCCGTGAGATAATTTATTAATTGCATAGTTGTACCTGTGATGGGTGGATAGTAAATAACAGAATATTGCAGATTCATGCTCTTTTCTTCCAAAGTTGCATTAAAAATAATATCTTTAAGGAAGGGAAGGAGACTAACTTGCCTACTTATGTTAAATATTATCTTATTTATAAGAAATGGAAGAAATGTACGTGGCACATTATGTAATTCTTTTAGATTCTGCCCACCTTATAAAAATGCACCATTGTTTACTGCCTGAATAAAAAAAAGTTCTGCTGAAACATGTCTTTGTAGATTTGTATCATAAAATTGATCTGCCTAATTACTGGTAATAATTAAATCATCCCAATTTGTATATTAAACAAGCCATTATTTTCCTTTGTTTTTCCTTTTGCTATACTGAATACACAGTGATGAGAATGGAACTTAAAAATTAGTTTTAATTTTAAGTAGATAACAGTAGAAATTCAGTGAGAAAGAGTTCGAGACAGCCCTGGGAAATTTGAAATGGAAATGATAAGAAATGGCAACCTTCTTGCCTGCAGGATCTTGCTTATTCAGTGCCCTTTCCAAATAGGAAGGCCAGGCTTCTTTGTTAATCTCTTTTCAGTACCTGGCATTTTAAGATACTCCCTTTTTTCCAAGGATTTCTATACTATGCTACTCAGATTGAGATTAGATGTCTACTCTGCACTGGAATGGTAAATAGTACATTTATTTATTTATTTATTTTAGATTTCATGGGTGGTCTAGACCAGGGGTAGGCAACCTTGGCTCTTTTATGACTCGTGGACTTCAACTCCCAGAATTCCTGAGCCAGCATGGCTCAGCTTGGAAATCTCTCCCTGTCCCCTCAGCATGGCTGGCTCAGGAATTCTGGGAGTTGAAGTCCACGAGTCATAGAAGAGCCAAGGTTGCCTACTCCTGGTCTCGACACATGAAAATAAATGAATAAACAAATAAAATGTAGTATGCTTTATTTCTCATGCTATTTTTTATTATTTAGATTGTTTTTCTGTTGTTTTTTTTAAAGTTTTAAAAAAAACTTCTTTGAGAAACCTGCAGTACTTCAAATAACTTTGATATTGGGTAGATAAAGAAAAAAAATACATCTTTTTTCATTTCTTCATTTAATAAAACCAATTGCCATCAGAGGCTCTTTTTAAAACAATAAATATATCAAAACGTTGTATTGTTAAATTGATATAAGGGCCGAAGCAAATAATCTTTGTTATTTCTCTTTAGCTATGAGCCATCTTAACGGGCAGAAAATGTATGGCAAGATTATTCGTGTTACTCTTTCCAAGCATCAAACAGTTCAGCTACCTCGAGAAGGTCTCGATGACCAAGGATTAACAAAAGATTTTGGCAATTCACCTCTTCACCGTTTCAAGAAGCCTGGTTCAAAAAACTTTCAAAATATTTTTCCTCCCTCTGCAACTCTTCATTTATCTAATATTCCGTAAGTCTTGGCTAAGCAACTTCGTTGAAAAATTCATGTACAAGCCAAAATTCATGTACAAGCCGTACGGGTCTGGATGGGAAGGAACAGACTCAGACTCAACCCTTCCAAGACCGAGTGGCTGTGGCTGCCGGCGCCCCGGCATAGTCAGTTGGTTCCATCGCTGTCTATAGGGGGCGAATTTTTGGCCCCCTCAGAGAGGGCGCGCAATCTGGGAGTCCTCCTGGATCCACGGCTGACACTAGAAGATCATTTGTC